AGATTTTTTTGACTCCAACCATTATCGTGAGAGTCTTGCGTTCTGCGTCCGAAGCCAGTTTTGGTGGAGAAGCTGTTAGAGTACCTGAACGTATGAGCTTGTTACACTGCTTCATTAGAACCCATCAGCGTCCGTTTCACTATACCCCATGGTTGAGAACTCCATATTCAGTTCAATTAATAATTCAATCTGAAGGGTCCCGAAGCACCACTGTCTGTTCATTGAACGCGCACATAGAATAGATGAAGTGCGCTCCTGCGTCTTTGGGGGTTACGTGACATCTTGGTCCAGTTGCGAAACCAAGAAACGCGGACAGATAGAGGACAGCGGCTGCCAAAGCATAGAAACGTGCAAGAAGCATGTAGCGAGCCAGAATGGGCTTTTTTAGGGGAGGGGGCTCAGGGGTGAACCACTTATAATCCGTGAAAAGCTGGAATGTGCGAAGTCACAACAACCACAGAGTGCCATGCGAACGAGAGAGTGCAGAGAAAACAACCGAAACACTAGCCACAAATTTAGCACAATCAGAGCAGACTATGTAGATGACAAAAATAAAATCGCTTTCAGATCAAAATTTTTTGCGGTACAGGTCGCATTCCTGCATTGCGACTCGGGAAAGTAGAAAAACGCGCGTCAAATGAGTATATGGGAATTGATGGACTCCTATCGCTAGCGAATTGGGAGAAAAGGAGGATTGGAGGTAGGAGAATAGAGTGCACGCCGAAGGTTAGTTGAAGTATTGATTGGCGAATAGGGAGAATAGGCAGTACCTTGGCGTACATTCTGCTATCCTCCTGCACTATCAATTCGCTAGCGATCAGAGTCAGTTGATTTCTATCTACTTCTTTATCGAGCATTTCTGAAATCTCATATTTACCCCATGCAGTACATGATAGGATAAAGGTAGTGCTCATCGTCGCGATTATCCTCGGTTTTTATCGACTCCTTGCTCTTGATGAGCTTTCACTGAGTAACGGCCTTCGCGGCACTGTGGCAGACTTGTTCACTAGTATAGGACGAAGACATGGCGCAGTGCAGTTTTGAGTTGGAAAGTAAGTGTAACCGTTGCCAGTTTAGGTCCAGCTTCTAAGCGGGCTCGAGTGTGCAGTGATGAGGCTGGTCCCTCTTCGAGAACCAAAACTCGCGAGCATTCAAATGAACAAGAGTACGAGTCGCCACAACGAGAACCGGAGACTAGTGCGACTTCTAGTGAGCGATACTACTGGTTGTATGAGGTGAGCAGGAGTTGCAATTCTGTAGTGACCACCTCCAATACGAG